TTAAACGTGTTTCCTTGAAGAACATGAACTCTGATGTTTGTTTCCGTTCTATCTGAACGATGTAATTGTTTTTTAAATGACGTTGAATTTGCAAAGACACCCACAGACAAATCAACATGGAAACGTATCCAGTCTGTGGATGAATGCAGCAAAACTCACTTTGACTTTAGTTCAGATTCGCAGGTGACTCTGCAAACACCGTAAAACTTAAACTGATTGTTGTTTTACCTCTGTCCCTGGGTGTGGCTGTCAGGGTGGAGCTTCCCGAACGCCGACCTGAAACGGGCGGACTCGTGTCAGAAGAGCACAGTTCTTCCAGGATCCAGCCCGACCCGGTGAGTCCTGCTGCAGAAACAACAAACCAACCAGACTGAGCTGCTTTTTATTCTACCTGCACAACTTTGTGTTTCTGAAACTAAACCTTCTGTTTTCTCAGATTCACTTAGGGGGAATTTTTTCTTCTGCATTCTCTTGTAATGATGCATTTACTCCTCAGTTCATGCAGCAAGTTGAATACTGGAAGTCTTACAGTAAATATAAAGTTTTTTTAATTTAGGAATTACATGTTAGTTTCTTGTTTGTGAGTTATTTCAAGTATTTTATCCTTTTGGAGGGATAAACGCAGCAGAAATGTTCAAAATGCTGTCGCAAAATCAATGTGACTCTATTCAAAATTATAACAGAGTATTCACGCCATAATAAAAAAGAAATAAAATTACAAGTCATATTCTTGTATTTTCTCGTCGTGGCTGTTTAAAACAGTTCAGGGTTTATTTGTTCATTTATTGCGATGGAAAACCAAACCATCTCCAGCTAACGCTCCATGTGTTTCTCCGTCCTTGAAGCGGTGGATTTATTTTTCCTCATGCATTTTTCCTCCCTGACTTCACCGCATTCCCTGCAGTTCGGCTCAGCCGGATCGGACGCCGGCGCCAGGCATGTCTGTCGGCAGCTACCAGCTGAGCGAGGAGCATCTGTGGTGCTGCATCTGCCTGGACATGTTCTCCAGCCCCGTCACGCTGCCCTGCGGACACAATTTCTGCAGGAGCTGCATCCAGGAGCACCTGACCTCTGACCCCCAGCGCCAGTGCCCCATGTGCAAGGAGCGCGTGGACAAGAAGCACAAGCTGGGCGTGAATACTTTCATAAGTGAGCTGGCCGTTCAGTACAGGCAGAGTGCAGGAAGGAAACCTGGAAGCTGCGCAGAGCTGAGAAAAGCGCCGTGCGGAGCTCCAGTCAGACCCAAACCGCGGTCCTCCAGGTCCCGGCTGCTGCTAGCTGCTACGCTGCTGGCGCTGCTGCTGCTGCTCACGGCTAACCTGCATCTCCATCAGAGCCTGAGCGGCGGCGAGACTCTGCTGTCTGAGGCGGAGAGCGTCTGCTCCGAGCATCAGGAGCCGCTGGAGCTCTTCTGCAAAAACGACCAGATTAGCATCTGCCGGCGCTGCAGCGCCACCGCACACCGCTCCCACCAGCTGGTTCCGCTCAGCGACGAGTACCAGGAGAAGAAAGACGAGCTCGGCAAGACGGAGGCCCGCATCCAGCAGGTCCTTCATTCATTTTACCTTTACTCTCCCGCACGGAGCAGGTTAGGACCAAAATAACGCAGGATTCTGACTTTAATCTCAGAATGATACGACGGCGCATTGCAGCCGCTGTAGATAGAAAACGGAGCAAATTTCCGCCAAAAAACTCAAGAAATAAACTTTGAAACTTTCTGAATTTCAAAAGTTTAAAATTTTTGACTTATAAAACCTTTTTTAGAAAACTTCTGAGCTTAGATAGAAAATAGAGGAGTGCATTCATACCAAAAATCTCTGAAATTTTGATTCTCATAACTTTTGTAGAAAAAATTTAGAAATTTCTAGGCTTGAAAAATTTTAAATTTTTCATTTTTGATAATCAGATTTTTTTTTTTTAGTTTTTTCTAGATTAATCTCAAAATAATCAGATTTTTTCTTGCTAATTTTTTACTTTAGTAGTTCAAAAATTACCTTGTTTTTTATCTGGTAAATTTCTGAGGTTCTTCACGAAATTTCTGAAATTATTAGCGTAAATTTACTCCTCTTTTATTTTCCTATCCTGACCTTTTTTCCTCGGAAGATTTATGAGTCTAAAAAGTTGAAAATTTGCCAGGAAAATCTCAGAAATTTTCTAGAAAGATTTTTGGAAATTTCTGTTTGAAAAGTAAAAAAAAAAAGACTTTTGGAAAATTTCTGAGTTTCAAAAGTTTCACTTTTATTTAAGTTTCATAACGACTATTTTCTAGAATATTTCTGAGCTTAATCTGAAAATTTCTGAGTTTTTTGTAGCAAATGTTCAACTTTTCAAACTCTAGATCTTGTAGAAAATTTTTTGGATATTTCTGAAAGTAAAGCCTGGTGGCCCGCCAGGCTTAAGATACTCTGAGGTAGTGCAGATTCAGTCATGTGGTGAAGTTTTGAAGCGTTAGTGATTGTAGTAACTTTTTCTACTTTTCGTGACCTGGGCAGCTGATCTGGCAGCGGCAGCTGAAGATCCAGGAGCTGAAGCGCTCCCTGCAGCAGAGCGAAGAAGCCGCAGACGGGGAAATGGCGGACGGTGTCCGGATCTTCAGCTCCCTGATCCAGACTCTGGAGGCGGCGCAGGCGGAGCTGATCGGGGCGATCGAGGAGAAGCGCAGGGCGAGGGAGAAGCAGAGCCAGAGTTTGATGGCTGACCTGGAGCAGGAAGTGGGGAAGCTGCGGCGGCGGCAGGTGCAGCTGCAGCAGCTGTCGCGCTCCAGCGATCCGCTCGTCTTCCTGCAGAGCTTCCCGGCTCTGAACGCCGTCCCGCCCACCAAGGACTGGACCCAGCTGAGGATGTGTCCGCTGGTCTACGACGGCCTGACCCGCACGGCGCTGCTGAGCGCCACCAACCAGCTGACGGACGCCATCAGGAACGCCATGCAGACGCTGCAGGACGAGGCGGCGGCGAACCTCCACCGCTCTGCCGTGGACGTCGATCTGGACCCGGACACGGCGCATCCCGCCCTCAGGCTGTCCGACGACCGGAGGCGGGTTCAGCTGGGAGACGGCGGGAAGACGCTGCCATACGAGTCCAAACGCTTCGAAGCTTTGGTCGGTGTCCTGGGGAGGCGGGGCTTCGCCTGCGGGCGGTTTCACTACGACGTCCAGGTGAAAGGGAAAACCGCCTGGACGCTCGGCGTCGCGAGGGAGTCCGTCAACCGGAAGGTCGAACTGGACCCGAGTCCGGAGAACGGCTTCTGGACCATCCGCCTCCAGAACAGGAAGGAGTTTGTCGCGCTGGCTAGCAAGCCGCTTCCTCTCTCGGTGGGTTATAATCCGGATTGGGTGCGAGTGTTTGTGGATTACGAGGAGGGTCAGGTGTCGTTTTATGACGTCGAAGCGGCAGTTCTGCTTCACTCCTTCACCGGGTTTTCCTTCACAGAGAAACTCTTCCCGTTCTTCAGTCCCGGTCCGAACGACGGCGGCAGGAACTCTGCTCCTCTGATAATCGCTCCTCCGACTCAACATGCAGAAAAATAATGCAGACATCAGTCAGGATTTTTCATTTAAAGGGGCAGTGTCACATTAATCGTGGTGTTATTCCCTCATCACAAACTAACATGGAGTTTTGCTTTGACTCTTTCATGGATGTCTGACAATCATTTAATCTCCACGGCAACCAAAATGCCTGGGTGGACCTAGCTCCGCCTTCAAGACGCAGCTCCTCCCCCACTCAGCTCCTTCAGACTAGCCAGCAGCAATTAGCAAACAGCCGATGGAACTGCTGAGCTACTTTATGTATTTTTAATAAATATAAATCTAAAGAAAATTTTATGGAAAACTGTTTTCCTGTTTTGTATCACAAAGAACGGAGATACAGAAGTGGAAAAAATACAAGAATCAATGCAAAAATTAAATATGTTTATAGACAAAAGTTAGAAATTACCTTCATAATTTAATATTTAGCTCCTTTATCTTTTATTCTCCTTTTCAGTTGTTCATAAAGAAACAGAAAGTAAGGTTAGTAAACATCAGTTTGTTTTTACCAATATGTGTTGATAATTTAAAGATTATCCATTTTCAACATGGCACAGAAAATAGCTTTTGATTGTAGAATAATGCATCAACCCAAACCTAAATTTACCAACGAAGATTAGCTCCAGATTTGGTGTGGAAGAAATATTCTGGCCGGAAAAATTGTTTTTGTTTTTTCCCAGTTGGAGATAAATAAATTTACTGCAAAGTAGGTCAAAGTGTTTATTTGCATCAGGCAGGAAAACAATGCAGTGTGTGAGGGAGTGGCAGCCGAAAGCAAACGTCTCGTATGTCTTGATCAATTTGTCAAGTTTCTGTTTACCTGAAAGCGTTCGATCGTATAACTGCCCCAATCCTTCTCAGATGAAAGATAGAAGATCATTCAGCCTTTTAAATGAAGTTCTTAATCCTTTCTGTGTCCAACTAAGTTATTATCTTTAGTGAATCATCCCAGTTGTAAAGGTGGTAAATATGAGAGGTTATTACTGTTGGCAAAGAACAAGAACGAGTTCACAGTGAAATGTTAAGCTGCTGATGACAACCTGTGTGATCAGCACTTTTTAAGTCCTGCCTGTATTAACAGGCTGCTCCAGTCTGCTTCAACATACAGAAAATAAAAGGCGTTTAAAACATCCTCCGACACGCCCTGGTTTGGCTGTGCAAGAAGATTCACCCTGAAAGCAAGATGCTAACAGAAACTCTGACATGTCGCTCAAACGGCTACAGCAGAAATGTTTGGGATAATGTTCGTCGGTCACATGATGGTGAAACACTTTGTACTTTTCAAACACCTGCTGGAATCCATTTTTATTCGCAAACTGATCAGATCTAAGACAGTTCCAACCGGGAGTGATCCACGCCATCTTGGTAGGCATAAAGCACAGCGGACCGATGGCCAAGACCAAGAAAAAGAAAATATTTGGACACTTTTGACCAATCTGTGAGAGAAGGATGCATCAACAAAATGGCTGCTCTGGGATTGACCCGAATGGGACGATGTGGACAAGCTGCCTCCGACCTCAAACTACGATATAATTCACAACTTAGTGAACACGAAGAGTGCGAACAACATGGATGCATGCAATCGGTGTTTAAATGGACTGTTAAAGGACCTACGAACTCTTCATGTGATTAACGAGGTTCTGGTGCCTGGCAGGCAAACACGTAGGCTACATGTTCGTCTTAGCTAGCAGATAAAAGCTACATTAGCTAAGCTAATTTTGCTAGTTTGACAATTACCAGAATAAACATCTCTGAGTTTTATCTTACACAGAGGTGGGTAGAGTACTTAAGTAGTTGAAATGTACTTGTATAGTTTCTAAGTTAGACATCAGAGAAACAAGGAGAGTTTTAGGCTTGTTTATTGTTGCCATAGCAACTCCATAGCAACTGCCTATGGAAATGGCTGTCAGTTCCAGAGTTCACAGAAATGCTTCACTTCTAACTACAATAACATTTTTAAAGCACTTTGGCTCTTTTTAGAAGCAGTTGAGACACAAATGGAAGAACAAAAATGTGAATTTTGCACAATGAGGCCAGTTTTAACCAAGTTTCTCTGGTCCAAGAGGTTAAGATGCCGATGTCTGTTTATGATAGATGAGTTATGGGAATTTCCTTTTGGTGGGGTGTTAACGTGATGTAGTAGGTCTGGTTAGATTTGAGGTGTTTTGTTCTCTAATATTTAAAACCAAGCTCCAGGGCTGAATTTCTAGCTGCCTTCTGTGAAAACAAGCTCTTATTTTAACAGGAAGTAATTGTGAGTTGTGAGGAAGGCTTTGCTCAGACGAGTAGATCAAGATAAACTGAAAGTATTTTTCCGTGTGAAGATTCTTGCTGCAGACTCTCAGGCTGGATTTTCTGGTGGTTAATCAGAAATTCGCTGTGTTTCCGAGTCCCTGAAGTCTCTTTAATACCCATTTATTAAATTTTCAGTTTCAGAAACATATTAATGTAACAGAGGAAAATTAATGTTCAAACACTAATAATGCACAAAAATTATACTTGTTAAAACTTGATAATTTTGTTAAAACATAAAAAAAATCAAATGTTCTTCATATTATGTTAAAAAATTGTTTTAAAATTATAACGTTCCACCAGCAGGTTTCAATGTTCAATTCCAATTTATTTATTTATTTTATCTTATTTTTTTGCATGGTTGTTCCTGCTATTAGTTAGACCCAACTGCAATGAGACTTTTGTGTGAACGGTTTACGACACCAAAGCCACCTGAAGGTGCAGAAGAAGAACGTAGACATCGATCTTAAAGGTGACTAATTTTGCAAAATTCATATTTTGCTCATTTTTGTTCTTCGGTTTGGGTCTCAAATGCTTCTAAAAACAACCCAGGCGCTTAAAAATCCACCAGCTGCATCTTGGGAATAAGTTAATCATATTTTTGTGTCTGGAAAATTAGCCATTTAAAAAACCTCCTGATTATTGAGTCACACTGCACGTTACCTAGCAACCCGAGTTCCAGCACGTTTGGTCAGCTGGTTTTATTGCCGTACAATGGCTGCTGGAAAAGACAAGTGTTTTGTTGTTGACTTAACATCCAGAAACCACTTGCTGAATGCTGGTTGGCCGTGCAGGAGGCTCCACTTCTGCTTTTCAAAGGTATATGGCTTTGTTGTTGGTCATCTGTTTGCAGACATTTTTACGTAGGAGTGTAAACGTTGAGGTGGACGGCGTGGCCAGCAGCAACTTATTTGAATTTAAAGTGTCAGAGGCCAGAAAGCTTCTCATTATGAAAGGGATTCAAAAAGCGACATGAATAAAGACGCATTGAAAACAATCGAATACAATTTAATATCTGGAAGTGGAACAGATCTTAACTGGGCCTTGAAAAAGTCGAATAACATGCAAACTTCTCAGGGCAACGCTCTGAAGAAGGGATGAAGACAGCATAAAGGATGAACATTGTTATGATCGTCAGAAAGAGATTCTTAAAGAGACAGAGACCCAATTTCAAGGTGTCAAAAATGCGTATTTAAATTTATTTTAAGTTGTTTGATATATAGAGCGTCTTTAAACAGCTGAAAGTAACATCGCTACCTGACTACAGGCAGCTGCAGGTAAACGACCAGCTAAAAGTTGTCTAGACCTGTTAGTCAGAGTTTCGTTTGGCATCAATATAATAAAACCAAAGACACACCTTGGCATCATGACATGCAAATCAAACCAAAACCTTTTCTGCTTATTGTTGGCTCACATACTGGACATTCTGGTGGTTTCTAATTAAGGAGCAATTATTTTTATGACGAGGTTGATGTTCCTTTCAGGCTGAAGTCCACTTTACAATCTGGTCCTTTCAGTTCAACTGAACCTTATATATTCATATATTTATATTCCCCAGCAAATAGATTACTGTTGTTTCCTTGAAAAGAGAGTATTTATTTGTAGCACCACAGTTCTCACTTTAAACAGAACAACTCTGACTCAAAGAAACACCCAAAACACGTATGACAGAGTTTTACACGCAACTAATTATGCTTTTTTTCTACCAAACTGATTTTTTCGCAGCAAATAAAAATCCTGGAGATGCATTTTATTTAATGTTGTTCAGTTATATTCAATAATTTCCAGTCTGTTTCTATATTTGTGTTTAAATGTCAGGCGGTTGCAGGGACTTGTGTTACTGACATGAACATCGCCTGGCTTAAGATCAACAGGAGCCGTCATGCTGACATGCCGAAGAAATGTTTTAGTTTTTGCAGTTAAAGCTGCAGCAACTTGTCTACATATTTATTGAAACTCCCACCAAGTCTTGACAATAGAGTATGAAACAAATAATCTGGGGGGAAAAAATCGAGCTCCTCTGCCGTCTCCCAGTGCTGAGTAGAAACAACCAATCAGGACCAGGAGGCGGGTCTTAGCGCTGTCAATCATGAGCACCATGGAGATTAAGCTCAGAAATCTCTTACAAAACACTTGGAAATTTCTGAATTTCAAAAATTTAAAAACTGAGAAATTCTTGAATTTTTTTTAGATTAATTTCAAAATTTCAGAGTTTTTTGGTAGAAATTTACTTTTTTGTTTTCTATCTGGAATAGCCCTAATCTGCCATCTGTTATCTCTCATAACAAACACAACATGGCAACTAATATGTAGAAAACTTTATTTTTTAATAAAAGTTGCCTCCTGCAGCTTTAAGGCGCTATGAGCCCAACCTGAAGCGTCAGCTGCTGTCAGCCAGGTAAAGCTTCGCGTGTCGCCTCTTCATCAGCTGCTCTGCCTGTGATGTTGATACTTCAGGAATAATTACAGCACAAACAGTTTGCATTTCAGCTGCACTTCACAGTATGCAGACGTGCAGCTTAGCGTCGCTACAGACTGGATGGATTATGGTAATGTGAAAAGCATCAGAACTGCCTGGTTGGAATATTAGAGCATCAGGCAGATTATGGAAATATGATGGTCTGGATCTGGGATTTCTCTCTGAAAGAGTCAAAGTCTTTCCTCTGGATTAACTTTCTCTGTTTTCTCATCAGTTTCTCTCTCAAAGACACAGATAGTCGCCTCTCAATGCTCAGACATGAGGAGCAGGCATTTTGCCAACATGCT